CTAAAAAAGGCAGGCCTCAGAGAGAGCAGAAGTTTGATTACAGTTAAGCAGTAGCCTTAAATTTGTCAGCAGAAAGTTTTTATAAGAAGTAGAAAAGTAAGGACAAATAGAACAATGATCTGGGTATTAACGCTTGATTAGCATACCTCCCTAAGCTACAGCAAAGTATCTCTAGTGAGATATTAGGAAGTTCTAAGCTTAATAATGGAGCCCTGGGGATTGTATTTTAATGTTAACAAGCAGGTATCATATTCAAAATAATCGAGTATTTTTTGACTGAAGGTACGTGTGCTTACAGTGGGTAGATAGAAATACTGTCAATATGCTTTTGCTTTGTGTGATTGGTCAAAAACTTACAAAGTAAGTTCTAACATGCAGTTCTTTGTCTGCTGCCAGTGATGTGAGCTGCTGGCATCTTCCCATTGTGATACCCATGTAATGAGACTGATGCTGGAAGATAAAACAGCTCGAGACGCATTCCCCAGCAGTCCCGTCCCATTGGTGATTTGTGCAGGGACGCCCAAGCAGTGATACGGCCGAGCTGCAGCAGGGCCGGACAGGGTGGGGCAGTGTGGGGCCAAGTTGGCTGGGGCGGGGTCGGGTTGGGTGGGGCAGGGCAGGGCAGGGTGTGGCAGGGTGGGGCCGGGTTGGGTGGAGCAGTGTAGGGTGGAGCATGGCAAGGTAGGGTGAGGCTACAGTGGTGTGGGGTGGGGCAGGGTGAGGAAGGGTGGGGCAGGGGCATATTGGGTGGAGCAGTGTAAGGCAGACCACAGCAATGTATGGCAAGGCTGGGTTGGTTGGAGCGGAACAGGGCAGAGCACATTAGGGTTGGGCAGAACTGGGCAGAGGGAGGTTGGGTAGGGTGGAGAAGGGTGGGGGAGGGGGGGTTGGCCAGGATGGGCAGGGAGCCCAGGCTCATGAGTCATCCATGAACCTGATGGCTGCCTCTCAAAGAGACTCTTGTGGGCTGTCCTGGCACAACAGGGCCTGATGCAGGTGCTCGACTGCTCTGCTTCTGTCCTCTGCCAGCTGGAGAGTGCCAGGAGGGTGCAGTTGGTGCAGGCTCAGCCCCTGGGCCAGGCTCTCCCTGTGGCCAGCACTGGCCTCCCCTGGCCACACAGCCCTGTGAGGCAGTGAGCAGCCACTGGGGCTGGGCTCTGGAGGGGGCAGAGGGCTTGGTGCTGCCCAAGAAAAAATAAAAGTTAAAATTCTGACATCAGAGACAAATAGCAGTATTGGAGATACTTTTTGCAAGGGATGGACAAAAGAATGACCCTGACAAGGTCAGATGAACAGTGCAAATGTGGTGGAGCCGTGCACAGCAGGGGCCATGTGAATACTCCAGCTTCATGGGAACAATGCATTTTGTGGATAACCAAGAGACAGTGAGTTCTGTAGCAAGCAAACTCAGGAATGATGAGACCATCATCCATGGCCTGATACACACTCATGTCTCTGCTGTGGTCAAGTCTCAAGGATGAACACGAAAAATTCAGAGAGAAGATGAGGAAGGAGATGAGCAAGGACAGTTCCCATGTGGCACCAGTGCAAACCAGAGGCCCCAGTGTCTGAGCCCAACATCCTCCAGCTAGGGAGAGGGAGTACATCCCTACAAGTGGACCTGTGGTTCTTCCTGTAAGAACATGGGCAAGGCATGAGAGGGTGGAATGGAAAACTCATCTCTATCCTAGCAGCATGGGTATGCAAGCTAAAAAAGGAAACTAAGGGCATCTAGCCAGGTAGAGACAAGGGAAAATTGTGTTTTTTGGGCTGTGTGGATCCCTGGCACACCAGAGCCATAGATATACAAGGTGTTTGTCAATTCTGGTGCACAGTGTACTCTAATCCCATCAGGACATGTGGGGGCAGAACCCGTTTCCATTGCCAGGGTGACAAGGGATGTACAGCAGGTGATCCCGTTGGAAGCCAAGGTTAGCCTGACTGGGAAGGAGTTGCAGAAATTCCTATTGTTACGGGCCCAGAGGCCCCGTGTATTCTGGGCATAGACTTTCTCCAGAACAGCTATTACAAAGACTCAAAGGGACTCAGATGGGCTTTCGGCATAGCTACTGTAGAGAGAGAGAACATTAAGCAGTTGAACTTCTTGAATGACTATCAGAAAACCCATCTGCAGTTGGACTCCTGAAGGTGGAAAAGCAACGAGTGCCTATTGCCACCTCGATGGTGCACCTTCAGCAGTATTGAACAAAACGAGACACCGTGATCCCCATGCACAAAATGATCCGTGAGCTGGAAAGTCAAGGACTGGTCAGCAAGACCCACTCACCCTTCAACAGCCCCATCTGGCCTGTGTGCAATTCTGACAGAGAATGGAGATTGACTGTGGACTGTTGTGCCTTGAATGAAGCGACTCCACCACTGAGCTCTGCTGGGCCGGACATGCTGGAACTCCAGTACGAGCTGGAGTCTAAGGCAGCAGAGTGGTACGCCACTGTTGACATTGCTAACGCATTCCTCTCCATTCCTCTGGCAGCAGAATGCAGGCCTCAGTTTGTTTTCACCTGGAAGGTGTGCAGTTCACCTGGAACCGACTGCCCCAGGGGTGGAAGAGCAGCCCCACCATCTGCCATGGCCTTATCCACACTGCACTGGAAAAGGTTGAAGCTCCAGAACACCTGCAGTACATGGAAGGCATCATTGTGTGAGGGAACACAGCAATGGAAGTATTTGAGAAAGGAGAGAGGATCATCCAGATTCCCCTGGAAGCTGAATATCGCCATCAAGAATAAGGCCAAGGGACCTGCCCAAGATATCCAGTGCCTGGAAGTAAAGGGGAAGGATGGATGGCGTCATATTCCCACTGAGGTCATCAGCAAGATCACTGCAATGTCTCCACCAACCAGCAAGAGGGAAACACCCGCTTTCCTAGGTGTCACAGATTTTGGAGAATCCACATTCCCAAGCATAGCCAGATTGTGAGCCCTTTCTACCTGGTCACCCGCAAAAAAGAATGATTTCCACTGGGGCCCTGAACAGCAACAAGCCTTTGCCCAGATCAAGCAGATCGCTCATGCAGTAGCCCTTGGCCCAGTCAGGACAGGAGCAGAGGTGAAGAATGTGCTCTACTCTGCAGCTGCATACAATGGATTGCCCTGGTGCATTTGGCAGAAGGTGCCTGGGGAGACTCATGATCGACCACTGGGATTTTGGAGTCAAAGCTACAGAGGGTCTGAAGCCAATTCCACTCCCAAAGAGAAGGAAATCTTAGCTGCCTATGAAGGAGTCCAGGCTGCCTCAGAGGTCACTGGTGCTTTAGCACAACTCCTCCTGGCACCTTGACTACCAGTGCTGGGGTGGAATTCAAAGGCAAGGTTCCTTCCACCCACCAGTGCCATCAGTGCTAGATGGAGCAAGTAGATTGCTCTTATCACTCAGCGCGCCTGTATAGGTAAATAGAATTGCCCTGAGATTTTGGAGGTAATTACAAATTGGCCCGAAGGTGAGAATTTTGGTGTCAAAGAACAAAAACCAGGGACACGGGCTGAAGAGGCTCCTCCCTATAACCAACTGCCACCAGAGGAAACACGCTACGCTCTTTTCACTGGTTCCTGTCGCATCGTAGGGATGAACCGGAAATGGAAAGCAGCCATATGGAGCCCCACATGACAG